AGAGAAGAGCGTGTAGCTCGTACTCAAAGGCACGAGAGGGCGTGAGGATTCGCACAACGTACTACAGCCCCCCTTTTGTTTTGTTTCTTTTTTCAAANTACTGCCAGTGTCCGCAGAATACAGATATATACACGTAGATGCATCCGTGCCAAGGAGGATTACTTCCGACGTGCGTACGGTACACATGCACCCCCGACATTGCAGTGTGAGCAACCAGTATGGTACGACCAGACCTTCGTCGTAGCCTTCCAAAGAGAAGAGCGTGTAGCTCGTACTCAAAGGCACGAGAGGGCGTGAGGATTCGCACAACGTACTACAGCCCCCCTTTTGTTTTGTTTCTTTTTTCAAACTACTTGGCATATTATTTGGATATGGAATATTGAGCAACGCACCTCTGGTTTTTCGTGCGCTCGAGTCAGCACAGCGATCAGCTCGCGGTCGTCCCTCTCGTTCGGGCTCTCCACCCTCACACTGCTGTCGCCCGGCCCTCCACTAAGGTCAATCTGAGTTTGCATCCGTTGAGCCAGCTCCGCATCGGAGATGTATGTCGCCGGAGCGGCGGCTGGGGCGGCAGCAGCCGCCAATGGCGCTGCCGCCGCGGACCGCGCCGCTGAAAGTCCGTGTTGGGCAGGCAAAACGATGCCCTCTACTGCTTCCAAACAGCACACAGCCTTCTGACTGCAGGAGGCGGCCATGGCGGAGCGCGAGTTCCACAATGTACTCGGTCAGGAGCTTTTTCGCCTCGGCCTGGCGATAGGAAACTGACTTGTCGCCCGCCCGCGAAGTGGCCACCATCCTGGCGCGTGCCAAAACCGCCGTGTAGACCTCCGCCGCCGGAAGGGGCGGCAGCCGAGTAGCCACCTCACCCAAACGGAGGACCAACTCCTCCACACTGCCCTGATCGCAACCGAGGCGGTCGAACACCCGCCCAAGGTCCAGCGTTGCCCCTGCTCCCGGCACCAGCGCCGTGTAGCACGGCAGAGCGTAGGCCGCCGTGGTCGCGTCCACAAACGCGGCCGTCTGGCGGTCGGGCCGGGGAGGCAGCCCAGGCGGAGGCGGGGAAAGCGGTCCCATCGGCGCGCTGGCAGCCGCTGAGGCCGCGGCAGCCGCCGCCGGGGCAGCAGCCGCTGAGGAAGCAGGCGCCGCCGCTGAGGAAGCCGTTGTAGAAGAAGCAGCCGCCGAAGCCGCCGCCGTGGAGCGCCGCGTGGTGCGAGGCGGCATGTTACGACTCTCAAATATGTCCCTTCTTCTCTGCTCCGGCGTATTTCGGGATAGAAACAGGGGACTGAACTAGGTGGGGTCATTTTCCAACATCCTTTCTGGAATATCTGACTCTTCCCGATTTCGTTCCGAAATCTAGATGCGTCTCAAATCCGAGAATACCTCAGAAAATGTTTTAGTCCGAAACCATCAATTATCATTTTTCAAATTTGGTCCCTGGTCCTACCAATGGGCACACGCGGCGCGAATTACTTTAGCGTCAAAATACTAACCGTAGCTTATCTTCGCGTGAATCCCTCAAACTGTAAATTTGGCGTCAATCCATACCCTAAAAGATATACTCCGTAGGAAGTAACAGGGCACACCCTGCTCCCGTCGTCTCGCCCTCTTGCTGTGGTGTTTGTGTGAGTCTCCGTTCCTCCTTTTCCGTGTATGTATGTCTGGCTCTGGGTGGTGCCTTGTTGCGTGAGCCTTCGTACGTCTGGTCAACCAAACGTCCCCCTCGAAGTCGGGGACGCCTGAATGCGACATGTTGTATATTCTGCACAGAAGAGAAGATGCTGTGCTAACTCGACGCACCGACCACGGATCGAAAAGGTAGCAGTTGGGACAGCTCGGGCAAAATAGTAGTCGTTGTGCGCAAGTCTTAGATTGCAATTTGGTGCCTACATGGTGAAATGGGTACCAGTCTGCTGGCATATTTGGGCACCGCAGACAGAGAGACAGAGAGACAGACAGGCATGGCTTCGTTTGAACCCCACTCGGTAGCCATTTTTTGTTTTTTTTCGCGCATACGCATGCACACGATTGATCCCCCCTCCAGTCTAATCAGCATTTTTTTGCAAAACAAGAAGCGCACCCCAATACGGGCCACTCTTCTCCCAAACATCAAGTATACGGGACACTCATTTGTCGCTCGTGTTAGTGACAGTTATTATAGGGTTTACACCATCGATAATTATTTTGACATTTGACCTGAAAGATTGAAATCTCGGGAAACTTTGACACCAGAAGGTTCCGCCAAGTGTCTGGAGACAACATTTCTCACGACGATGATTTTTCAGACCGTGTCAAAAAACAAGAACGTGAAAAAGATTGACGGCAATTCTCCAGGCGGCACACACACTACATGTATGTTCTCGCTGCTACCGTCATCGGAAAGAAAGGAGCGACGCCAGCATCCACCACCCCTACTGAAACATCCTACGCGGTCCTGTACACACGGCTTGGCGAGTTCGCGCGGCATCGCGTGCCCAGAATCGCGTGTTCGGCGCGCGCGTTCGATTTTGCGGCGTGTCTGTAAACTACTACACAACAGCAGCACCTTGATTGACTGCAGTGATCAGGGTTATCCTGCCCCCGAAGGGAGCAGAGAGAGAGGCATAAGCGAGGGTACACGGACTTGCCCGGTCAAGTGCCTCTCACCCAACCCCGTCGCTTGACAGGGTTGGGGTTCGCGCTGGGGCGCTTGGTGCTGCAAGCAGCTGCCCGTCGCGTGTTCGGCGCGCGCGTTCGATGGTTAGCAGAGGCGTGTGTTTGCTAGCACAGCACCTTGACTGCAATCATCAGGGTTGTCCTGCCCCCGAAAGGAGCAGAGAGAGAGGCATAAGAGAGGGTACACGGACTTGGCCGGTCAACTTGGTGCATCTCACCCAACCCCGTCGCCTGACGGGATTGGGGTTCGCGCTGGGGCGCTTGGTGCTGCCAGCAGTTGCCCGGCGACAGCAGTCTCTTTTCAATTTTTCTAAATATGACACAACGAGTCCAACTCTATCATAGATACGAGTCCGAGACAGATTAACAATGGAATCATTATATTTTTTTTCGGTGGTTCCTAGAGTCAACGGGCACAAGCGGCGCATTTATTTCGCGTCAAAATCTCAACCGTGACTTCGGACTGGCGTCAAGCCTCAAATGTCAAAGTTCCACGCCAAAACAAGGTGTGAACCCTCTATTATATCTTTACATGGACCCCACGGCGTCCCATGTTGCACCATGAGACAACATGAGATTCTCATGGGGCCCCAGGACTACCTACCCCATGAGACGAAAATTTATCTCTTCATATTGTTGTGGATCTCATCATCCACTACGACCCTCACCATGAGTTGCCACTAAAGACCACGGCGCTCCATGAGACCTATGGCGAACGTTTCCGTGGATCTCATGATAGTCTCGTGCCGAGACTTCATGGGTGCCATGACAATAATCCTCAAGGATATTTTGCCTCGACTATTTTTTCACGAGCATTTTCCAGACACTCGTGATGCGCCGTAAGGCACCGTGGGTCCTCGTGGTGCACAATTGGAGGTTTGGTAAACTTATGGGCGTTGTTCGTTCATGGTGCCCCATCTCGTTGTTTCGGTTTGGTTTATTTCTTCATTTATTACGTGTTTTTTATTTTTTACACCATGGTGCGACATGGCTGCCCATGGTACACCATGAGGGCCAACAGTTTCCGTATCTGTCCACGAGAAGATATGATCGATTTCACATGTATATTTGATCATGTCTCCTCATGGTGCACCATGGGCGAACTACAGCATTCCCATTCTCCCATTAGATCGGCCATGGCATACCATGGCATGACATGGAAATGATCTCGTGGCGCCCCATGATCTATCTCATGGGACTACATGAAGGCCCACATGAGGTTGTTCTCATGGTGGCCCATGAGACCTCATGGTTCCTCGTGGCGCCTCATGGGCACCCATGAGACGCAATTTTATCGCTTTTATATTTTACGCGACCCAAGAATGTTGTGCAACATCGTGGAGGGCCCTCAAAGCAACGTGTAAGGGAGTGGCCGCAGCAGTCGAAACGGGCATATATGTCCACCTGGACAGATATTTGACGGAACTCGAAGCGATCTACAAGGACCGCAATATGCGAGACCTCTACCAACACCTCAAGAGATTAGTGTGTCTCAGTGGCAGACAAGCGGGAGGACAGCAACCCGTTGCGGACGGGAATGGCGTGCTGCTCCAGAAAAAGAACGGCATCCTCCAGCGATGGACGAGATTCTTCGGCACCCTCCTCAGCACCAAGTCCCCCACCCTGAACCCAGACATCATCGAACAAGTGGTGCAGCGACCAGCGACGCGTGCCACTCGACGGTTAGGAGCGGTTCGAGACGTTGAAGTCGAACGGGTAACGAAAGGACTGCAGAAGTGCAAGGAACCCGACAATGATTCCCTCCCTGCAGAGTTGCTCAATATCGACGACGACGACGAGGAACCCATCGTCCTGGACCACCTCCGTGCCATCATGGTTGAGGATTGGATCGGAGGAGAGATCCCCCGCGAGTGGAAGGACGCAACCATCAAGGTTTTGTACAAGAAGGGTGACCGGTCCAACTGCAACAACTTCAGGGGGATCTCGCTCCTATGTCACGTAGGCAGCGTCCCCATCAAGATCATCACCAACCGCCAAGCGCCTTCTGTGAAACCAACAACATCCTCCCGGAGGAACAATGCCGATTCCGACCTGGGCGATCGACCATCGACATGCTGTTCGTCGTGCGCCGACTCCAAGAGTTGGGGCGGGGAAGGAACCACTCTACATGTGCTTCGTCGACCTGATGAAGGCGTATGATTCGGTGGACTGAGCGGCTGGCCAGGGTCGGGATTGCTGAGGAGATGATCGCCGTCATCCGCCAATTCCACGACAGAAGGCGGGCCCGGATGCGCATGGACGACGGAGAGATTTCGGCCTGGTTCTTGATCACACAAGGCATATGGCAAGGGTGTGTGCTGTCCTTACTGCTGTTCAATATCTTCTTCGCCGCGGTCATCGAGGTCGTTGCCATTCGATTGAGCGAGGATGATGTTCTTCTGCAGAACCTTGTATACCTGGAGGAGGAGATGGGAACGGGGGCGAGGACACCACTTAACCGAGTGCGGAGAGCTGGATGGGGGATGCTGCACGCCGATGACGCCGGCGTCATGTCGAGGTCTGCCGAAGCACTGGCGAGAATGATGACCGTCATCATGGAGGTGATCGGGGAGTTCGGGCTGACGGTATCGGAGAAGACGGCGACGGTCCAAATGCGCGCAAAGGAGAAGCAGACAACAATACCACCGCCCCCCCCGCCGCCACCGCTGATCATCGAGGCAGCAGGGCAGAGGTATACCCAGACGACTGAATTACGGTACCAAGGTGGCCTCGTCAACGAACATGGCGACCTCACCCAGAACATCAATTACCGGAGCGGAGCAGCGTGGGCGTGCGTCAGGAGATATGGCCAGGAGCTCTTCCACAGGCCGAGAGCACCGTTCCGATTGAAGACTCGCCTGCTCCAGGCCGAGGCGATGAAGGCAATGCTGTACGGCTGCATGACATGGGCCCCACGTCCAGACCAATGCCGGACGTTGAGGACGATACACCATCGACTGCTCCTGCGAGATATCGGTTACCAACGCAACAAGGGCACCTACCGGCAGCTTCCCTACGCCGAGACCCTGAAGAGGGTAGGGTGCCAGAGGGTGGAAAACACTATCCGGCAACGGTGCCTGCTGTTCGCGGGAGCGCTGGCAAGGCAGCCAGACGGACGGCTCCCGAAACGGGTGATGCCTGGCGAACTGGTGGGGCGGCAGGGCCCAGGCAGGGCGAAACCGGAGGAAAACTGGCAGATGTGCCTGAAGGATGTCCTGAAGATGTTAGAAGCAGAGCACGGATCTACGGACGCTGAGCCATGCTTCAATAGAAGCAACGAAAATGGACTGGGGGGTGTCGTGGCATACAGAGGTGCTCCAGGGAGCTAAGAGCTTCATGGCCTCGTGGCACAAGAGGGAACAGGAGGCTAGCCGACAACGGGCGCCCAAACAAAACAAGAAGCCCGACAACAACACGGACACAGCAACAAACACGGGGGTGGGAGGGGTACAGCAGGCGGACGAGACGGCGAGGAAAGGCAGGGGACCCGAAGAGGCAGACCGGGTGACGCGAAACACCGTGCTGAATTGAACCCCTTGCTTAACTTACCCCCCCTCCCCCGGCACTTTATTGCACCAACCCCCCGCGAGCGATGACGTGCATGGGCTGGCGCAAGTGGCCCGCTTTGTCTTGTGTTGCTTTTTGATGTTATGCTTGTTTGTTTGTTGTCTGTCGCTACGGCGTGTGTCTTTCTCTGTCCGTGTCTTTCTCCTTCTCTTTCCCTTCTCTCTATCTGCTCTTTTCTTTTTCTTATTCTTTTTCTTCTTTTCTTTTTCCTGTTCCTTTGTTTTTCCTTTTGTTTTTCTTTTCCTTTTTTTTTTTTCTATCTTTTTCCAATGTAGGGTTACCTCGCATAACGTGTAGAGGCGAGCGGAGTGGCCTAGACTATCTGTCGTTGACTTTTTTTGGCTTGCGGACCCTTTGGGCCATTTTTCTTCGTATACATTTGTTGGGCATGTTAGCCTGTGACCACGGGAATCGACCCCGCCAAGTGTTAGACTAGTATGGACAAAGACGGTTGATGTGAAGACAACGACCGACAACAACAACAACAATTAATAGTAGTGTCGGAGAATGAAGAAAACGTTTGCAGTTATACAATGCAACAACAGAAGCAGTGAAAGATTGCCCGCTCGAGGGAACCTTTCGCACCATCTCATTCATCAACGCACATCCACACCTCCGTCCGCTCGCTCGGCGACCGCAATAGAGCAAGCAGGAACAAAACAACGGAGAGATCTCGAAAGTCTACGATTGCAAGGTGGGGACGTCGACTATATATGTTCGCTTCCGTGAACAATGGGCATTCCGACTATACTATACTCGCCCCACTCGCGTGTACCTTGAGAATATTTCCCTACAGTCTCTTTCCTTGCCAGTGGACGTGTTCTTTAGATCTTCTGGTGGCTCAAGCAATTTTGTGACTCGGGACTCGAGTTGTTGCTAGATTTTGGGGTTAGCAACTGACACGAGTTTCATGTGGACACAACAATAACGACATCCATACGCCCCCTTCGAAATCAAGATAACCCTTTCCTACAATTTACGTCAAACGAGTCGAAACGGAAGGCGATCAATCAAGGTCAGTTTTGGGGGTTAGCTTTAAGGGTCTATTGTCATGTTGTACTAGGGTAGGCGGGCGACCATTACCAGACGAATGGCGGTGAGACTTGGGAGGAAGTAAAGGAAAATAAGCAGGAACACGAACGTACTCTATTCGTCTCTCAAGTAGTGTATTCTGAATCTGTATTTTTTCTTTTTCAGTGATGCATGTCCGCACGTAAGACCACCATGGTTGCAGTGTCCACGTCAGGAATACCGCCAAACGCCATCCGGCACGCGACACACGGCCGGACTCGGATATGGCATTGCCGTTTGGCGAGATGTCTATTTTTCGAAGCGCGTGAAGGAGGGTAACTCGCACCACAGGAGTCGCACATTTTTTTTTTCTTCATTGGCACCAAACGGCATCGCGCCTCTGGTTTGTCGTGTGCCCAGTTAGCAGCGTAGTTCGAAGAGGCGACACTCCGATCTGGGCCCTCCATCCAATCCCAAAAACACCTCCGCTAACAACTTGCTCTGATCGCAATTCATGCGATTGCGGTCGAAGACCCCCCCAAGGTCCAACGAAGCCCCCCCCCGTGCCCGGCACCAGCGCGGTGTAGCACGGCGAACCATAGGCTGCGGTGGTGGCGTCCACGAACGTGGCCGTCTGGCGGTCAGGTCGAGGAGTGGAGGTAAAAGCGGGCACACCGGTGCGCTCGCAGCCGCTGGGACCAAGACAGCCACCGCCAAGCAGTCGATTCGAGCTAACATAATATAATCATTTTCCCTTACCAAGAGAAAAAATGTGTCACGACACGACGACCATCCTGTGAGTATATATACGAGGGTAAACTTTTGCCCCGCTTCCCCTCATTGGGGGGCGGGGGCCCAATACTCATCTCTAGTAAAGATTGTTCAGCAGAACATCAATGTTCGGTCTGTAGCTTGGGTTCGCCCAAATGATCAGGTGTTGTCGAAACGCTCTACAACACTTCGTCGGCGATTTATCTGTGCCTCAGGGAGAGCGAGCAAATCGCTTAGAGCCCGCGAATCAATCTGGTGGTGGAGAAGTCATGCCGCCGTACATGGAGACGATCTTGCACATCGTCCGGTTGGCCTCCATTCACTCCATGCTCATTGTTGGGAGTGATACGGTGAGGTTCGGGCCTACAATACACGCCGGCCTATTTAAGACACGGAGCGAGAATGAGTATCTACGCAAACCATGCTCGGAAGTGGAAGAGGATTGGTAAAGAATTTTGCAGCAATTTCCAACCAAGAATGAAATGACAAATTCCAAGAGCGATCAATGATCCACTACGAAGATGCCGAATTTTCTAACTGCCATGTAAAAAAAAAACGTTAAGGGCCCTCTCATATGAACACGATTCGCAAGCGTCTGCCCACACTGCATGTTCGCGAAGCTCGGCCGTCAGAAACCCACCGTCATTGCGTTGATATGTAGTAGCTTATGTCAGCCTGTACGCGGCTGCAGCAGCCGCTCACGCACAGGTTGTCGTAGGCCATGCAAAGTCCCTTGCTCTGCAGTGCTATTTGAAGACAGATCCATGCTCGAGGGCTACGAAAGAAGAGCAATCACGAGGAAATGAGGAATAAATATGGTAGGCCACACGTCATGTAGCATTCGCGGCCTTGTAACGTACAAGGGTTGGTGCCAAGGGGGTAACCCGCCCTCGTATCCTTGCTGTGATTCTCTTTTGTATTCGGTGTTTTGTGTGTAGTTGTACGCGAGGAGTGAACCAGGCCAGCCACCGGAATACTGCACGGTCTTCCACCACATGGTGAAAAGCGCGGGCTCGACCATCAAGGGTAATCTTTACATGTCTTCACGGGTCGCAGGTGCCCCGAAGCCAGGTGAGACTACTGCATGTTGTAGAAGTCTTGGAACAATATCGCTCGGAGGATCGAACCCCCTACTACCGTAAATTCTTCCGGATTTTGATAATCCTGACCTTGGTCTCTACGTTCCAAGGCACGAAGAAACGACGAACCCTCTACCCGGCGTTAAACAGTCGCCTTTTGACGACGACCTCCAAAGAATATCCATCGCACGTTCAAGGACCAGTTTTTGCCGAGGTATAGGAGGCATGAAGGTGTCAAGAAAGCGTGTCGAACACAGGAATACTACACTGGTGACGACTCAATACTCTGTTGTAGTCGATACGATGCTGTGCAAGGTGCGCGACACACTGCTTCCAGGCGGCAACGCAGCAGCCCGAAGGCGCAATTAATTATCTTTTTGCGGAAATATTTTCAAGCGGATTTTCCACGACCTTGTACCCGCTCCCACTGTTTGTTGCACATCAACGGCGGAGGAACACGAACAATGCATGCTCGCATCAGTGCCGCCAAAAGATCTGCACCAAACAGTACTAACAACGACATAAATGCACAGTGGTAGCCTCAACGAATGCATTTGTAGTGCTGCTGCTGCTGCTGCTGCTGCTGTAATGGCAAAATGACTCCCATCGATCTTTTCTTTTATGCGGCAGTGCATGCATGCAAGAATGGCACCTTGGCGCCTCGCACCAAAAAGAAGAATGCTCCTCTTCATGGACATATTTTCCAGGCGTGACCAGCAATGACCATGACATCCGCCGGTGCTGGCAGCTTTGCCAAGCCGCCCATGCGCAGTTCATGAACTGCCCATCTGCTGCCCATGGGTGGGCCCATGGGCAGCCCATGAAGTGCCCACGAGGTGCCTACCGTGGGCACTTCAACCTAAAACTTCGCCACCCAGCGCCAACCTAGAACGTATCGTGTGGGCTTTGGGTTAGGGTTAGGGGGTTGGGTTTTCAGCCGTTTTAGTGCCTCCAAAGCAGAAAGTGTACAGTTTTGGAGTACCTTGTTCTGATTGAAGGGCTCTCATTGTTGTTCTGGTTGATGGGTTGCCCACGGGCTACCCAAGGACTTCTTCGTGGGCCTTCCTCACGGGCAGTCCATGGGAACTTCCGTGCCCATGCCCATGGGCAGCCAAGAGGTGCTCCATGGACAACCCGTGGGCAACCTGTGGGCACAACGTGGTGCGCATGGGTGCCCCATGGGCGGTCAAGGGAAACTGTAGAAAGCATGGGAAGCCCCTCCAGCGAGGGTATATCCCCCGTTTGACGAAGGTGGCGTGGGAAACGTGTCTAGGGCGGAGACTGCACCAGCTGCTCTTGGCAACACTGCTTCCGCGGACGAGGTCGCCGCACATCAGGAACTGGTCGAGGAATTCGAACCGAAGCGCCGAAAATATTTTCTCTCGTCTGTTACTGGCGACGTCGGATTGCGCCGGCGGCTACGCCGGCATGGCATCCCAGGTCGTAGCCCAAGTGAATGCTGCAATCGGAACCGACAAATTCGGCAACGGGCGCCGTGCTATCGTGGTACTGTAAGTTTCGTGTCGACGGCGTGATCCGCATGCACAAGCTGAATGACAAGTTCGGGACTCCCGAAGTGTCCACCGCCGACATCCGTCATCCCGCGTGCGTGATTCCTGCGTTACGCCGCATGTGCATTGAGCTGGACGCTCTTGGCGACAAAACAGTTCGGGCTAGGAACACGTACGCATTTCTGAAATCCCTTCCCGAAAACCAAAAGTGGCGGTTGTGTCACCTTGGACTTTGACAACGTGTCCAGTCGGGCAACTGCATACCATGCAATGCAACTCCGTGCGCTCAACACTGTCGTGCATGGTGGGGGACGTGGGTTTCGCCGGCTAGGAGGACGCGGACGTGGACGAGGTCGTCGCTGAAACATCGGCGGGAACTCAAAAATGGTAACAAAACCATACGTCGAAGACCAACACCGGCAACGGTGGTTTCGCCTTGAACGGGAATAAAGCGGGAATAGCACAAGGTGCACGCTGGAGAAAGCGGCAGCTAAACATCCGCATACTGTGGTCGAGAAGTAGTCAGGACAATGGTCTAAACCACCAGGGTAGGTATCGTAGACTTCTACCGAGCACGGTTGGCTCAACTGCCCGCTTTGCCTGTCGCACGAATCTGAAGATGACCGGGATATTGCGGCACAGACCGTGCGAACAACTTCGTCAGAGGCGTGGTCACTTGAGTCGAGGAAGGAAGAAACGAGCTTAACAACTTCAACATCTTTGTAGGAGACAACGCGCAAGTGCCGAAGACGATTCGGTTCTCAATGTTCCTCTATCAGAGGCTTCCTACTCTACCGTCTGGGCGCCGAATGCGCATCTTGTTACATGGAGAACGATCGATCACACCGTTTCGGGGAAGAAGCATTTTGGACTAAATAGCGACCGTGATTACGGTCTACCACCACCTGTCCCGAATTCCTTGCTCTTGGCACCACCATTCATTGCGTTCGAAGAAATTCCAGCGTCTCCCGGTGATTGTCCTTATGGGCTGGTGGACAACTCCCGCTTGTTGTAGCTCTTTTCCGGTTTTACGCCTGGCACCCTGGCCGAGGGTGCAAGGGTAGATCAGGAGACTCTTGGTACGTGTTATCCGGGTTGATGATCTACGATTCATCACAATATGTATTGGAGAGTTTCGGAAATATGTGGTATCGCTTTGCTCAGACAATATTGCCTAAACGAAATTGGCATCAAAATGATCCGAAAAGAGTCTCGGATTATTTTTCCGCGTGACGTAGCAACTGCCTCCCGCTGATCGCCCGAAATTCCCGAGCGCACCGTTCCGAGGCCGCTGACGTTTAGTTTTTTTTCAATCAAGCGAAAGAGAGAGAGAAACATCCTCACACAGCGATTTACTATGCAGCATTACAAACCGCAACATATCTCTAGAGGTGGAGACGATAGCGAGCATCACAAGGCAACGTTTGGGCCACTTCCCAGCAGTTCAACTGACCTGCAGCTCACGGTCTGAAAGATCTCCTGAGCCTTTTCTCATCCCACTGGGAGCATCACATGCATGCATACATGTAGATACACACTGCCGCACAGGAGGAGCGGGTCTGTCCAGTGGCGTTGACATGAGGCTCGGACGAGTCTGAACCCTGCCATGCCAGAAAAGACTTCTTTTTGTGAAGTGCTATTTACTGAAAACCATCCGATAACAGCGTGTAGGCTGCAGGATCCGAAACAAACCATGCAGAAGAAAAAACCAAACAGCATCGACAAAAATGACTGAAATATCTACGCCGTGAGTAGTTCTGCAATACCACTCCCAAGGCTAGCAAACGCGTGCCTACCTGCTTCGTGTTTTTCAACGATGCAATACGGGGGGGCACTGTTAATGCAAAATGCAACTTCACCAAGGGTACACACACGTGAAAGAAAATTCAAGACACATGTGCCTACTAGTCGAAAATCGGGGTCATTTTTTTGGGGGGGTACTCATGGTCGTGCATGCCGTAGTCGTTAGACCATTGACCTCGCATCCCTACAAAGCTGGGACGGAGCACGCCGGATTGTCACCGGACCAGGCTCTCACAGCACCAAGCGCGAAGCGCCGTGACATATTCGGCGAGTCGCGTGAAGGGTGGGCTGCATCCTGCTAAGGGTGTTCGGCAT